AAGTTAATTTCTTAATATGTACAGATGTACGAAATATGTAGAAGCGAAGACTGAGTGCAAAGCCATGTACTCTCTGACAACATTTATAATTTATGTGTCTGATGACGTACTGCAATAAAGCATATAAGTTATATAAAAATTATATTTAACGTTAATGTGAATCAAATTTTATGCCTCACCTGCATCCCCACTTCAAACAATTTCAACACAATAAAATTAAATATTAATATATCCTTAGTTATAAAAATCGGAGAGAGAGAGAGAGGGAGAGAGAGAGAGAGAGAAAGAGATTACATTGTTATAACCTTCTTCATCGAACGTCGATACAATGATAAAAATCTATACAGCGGTTAAGTATAAATGCAAAGTATACACATATACGTCAAACAATAATATTCACATGGGGGGAAGGAGATCCGTGACCGGGAGATACGTGTCAGGAAGATGTTCCAAGTCACTTTGTTTATTAACCCTTAAAAACACTTTGACCCCTTTTGTAACGTAAACGCCACACTTGGAACGGCATACCCAAGTCAACTTTGATTGCTCAGAACATTTATAAAAATGAATATATTTTAACTAATTTTTTTTTAATCGAAACACCAGACAATAAGGAATATAACGGTATCAAGCAAATGTATGTATCCTTATTAATAAAAAAAATTATAAGCTATAAACTAAACAATAGTTTCGAAAAAACCACATTTTATTAAAAAATTCTTATTTTTCATACATAAGTTACAAAAATATTTTAAATATGCAATTTGGAAAGTAGAAACTTCGAACATTTAGAAAAAAATACTGCATTATTGTATATCTTTTAAAAAACTTAATTATTTAAAAGGACGAAAGTGAAGAAAATTTGAAATTTATTTTGGAAAAAAAACATTTTCTGTTTTAAATGAATTAATTTCAGAAATGATAATTGCGTGCCGATATGGTTGTCGGACTTTCAACGCAATCAAATCTGAAAATATTAATAATCCCCTCAAATTTCCCAACTTAAAAACTGTAATAAACTTATTGCGAAAAATAATGCCTCGGCCGGGACTCGAACCCGGATCTCTTGCATTCCGTGCGAGCGTCCTAAGCCTTTAGACTACCGAGACCTTAGCATTATTCTTCGCAATAATTGATATGTATAGAGAGTTACGCATTTCTCGGCGCGCGTGTATAAACAATAATAAGATTGAAAGACCGCTAATGTTAAACATAATACTTTAAATTAAGAAGCGCCATAACGGTCAGAACGTTAAGATGTTGAACTTTTTTACCTTTTTAAAAAAGGTATGTTTGTACTGATCTTTTGTACGAATGATATGTATCATTAGAGTTCAGTAATTAACAAAGATAGTACCACTTAGTAAGAATATCCTTAAAGAAGAATTAAAACTACTATTAATTGGGTTGGACATTTAGGTTTTGTTCGAGAAACATGTATATTCTTATTGCCTTTTTATCCTTTTTTAAAAAGATAAGTTTGTACTGCATTATCACGCATTTTGTAGTAGCAAATGTCTTCTTATAAACAGTTTATACATTTTTGCAACATGCGTAATATGGTCTTAACCTAGAATAATTATGAATCTTATCATCTAGATATAAAAAGAATTCCACCACTACCCCCATCGTTTTATAATTGTAATATAAAAATTTCAAAATAAATATCAAAACGATGGTTATCTGCATACTTTTGTATGTTCTTTGCTGTACATTAAGAAATTAACAATGAATTAACAGAATTTAACTTGGCATCAATTGTTGATATCAAATCTTTTTTACGAATGTTACATAAAATTTTGTGGAATTTAATTTGATGCCAGTTGTTGATATCAAATCTTTTATATGAATGATACATATCCGTGATACAGTCCGTTACCGAATAAACGAGAACTTGGTTAGTTAAGATTATATAATTTAAGTTTTAATTTTTAATTTCGTACATTAGTTTTTTTCTAGGAGTAATAATTTTTAACAGAGAATTAAAACTGCCATTACTTGAAATAAGAGGACCTTCAATAACGATATTTTTGAAAAAGAATTAAAACTGTTACTATTTGAGTCAGAATAATAAAAAGATACGTATCACTTAGGTTCTATTCGAGAAGCACGTATATGCTTAGAGAGAGAGAGTGCCTTCTTTACCTTTTTTTAAAAAGGTAATCTCTTACAGATACGAATGATAAAATTTTGTAACTACTACTTTGGTTGGAAAAAAATGTCTTTGAATGAATTGCAATATAAAAATTTCATATAAGAAGAATTAAAGTCATCAAATAGAAAAATCCTTCAATAGAAATATACAAAGACCAATCAAATCGTCTCAACTAGAATAACGTGTAGTAACTGATACAATTTGATACGATTTGATTGGTTGACGTAAGTTACGAATTAGAAATCTTAATGCTGGAGTCCCATGCAGTGTATTTGCCACGTATCGCATAATCGTTTAACCAATCAGAAGCGATCCGCTGCTGTGGTTGCGTGTCTTACTGAATACCTAGACACTTAATTCCTCGATGGCGAACATATAGACACCCATTTCCTTAACGGCGAAAACCTAACCTAGACACGCACTTCCTCGACGGCGAACATGTAAACAGCACCTAGACACTTAATTCCTCGACGACGGACACCTAGACATTTAGTTTCCCGATGGCGAACATCTAGACACCCACTTCCTCGACTGCAAACACCTAGACACCCACTTTCTCGACGGCAAACATGCAGACAACACTTAGACACTTAATCCTCAACAGCGAATACGACAGACAACACCTAGACATTCAATTCCTCGACGATGATATCGATTCCTCGACGAACACGCAGACAATACCTAGGTACTTAATCCTCGATATCGAATACGCAATTAACACCTATACATTCAATTCCTCGACGGCGATTACAATGCATCGTATGTAGGGCAGACTAAGAAGCAGCTAGGGAAATCAGTGAACGTAGGAGAGATATTAATAAAAAGTGTGGCTCTTTCATCAATAATATCTGAACACAGAATAGCCACCAATCATATATTTGATTGGGAACATGTTAAGATCCTAGATAATGGACTTTTATATCTTAAAAGAGCAGTGTCTGAGATAATTTACACAGAGAGAAAAAAATTTGCTTCGAACGCTAATCCTATGCCATTATGGTAAATTTATTTGCACATATAGGGATCGCAAATTATTTGCAGGTATAATAAATATTCATTCGTTTTTGTACTTGCTATAAAAATTATTTGCAACAAATGCAAAATACATATTTATCAAATATGCAAATTTGTTTGCTATAAACAGCAAAAGATTTGACAAACACATTTTGCAATCCCTTTTGCGTTCATAGCAAATCTTTTTTCTCTGTGTATATATTAAGAAACAGAACGACGGAATTAATAAACAAGATGACTTGGAACATCTTCCTGACACGTATCTCCCGGTCCTGGATCTCCTTTTCCCCACGTGAATATTATTGTTTGACGTATGTGTGTTTACTTTGTGTTTATACTTAACGGCTGTATAGATTTTTATTATTGTATCGACGTTCGATGAAAAAGGTTATAACAATTTAATCTCTCTCTCTCTGATTTTTATAACTAAGAATGTGTGTATTAAATTTTGTGTTGAAATTGTTTGATATGGGGATGCAGACAAGGTATAAAATTTGATTCACATTAACGTCAAATATAATTTTTATAAATAACTAACACAAATAAAACTTCGTAGAACTCTCGAAATAAAAAACTGCAAGAAATTCAGGCAAATAAGAGTGTAGACACAGATATTGTAGCGTAATATTCTTACAATTATTACTTAGTGTAAAATCTTCATATACATAGAGATTCGTTCGTACGTTCCAACTCGGTTTAGAGTCGTCTTCAGCGAATGATTAATAGAATAAGACTTCTCTTCTTCCCTTATGTATTAAGTGATTACATAAGGGAAGAAGAGAAGTCTTATTCTATTAATTATTCGCTGAAGATGACTCTAAACCGAGTTGAAACGTACAAACGAATCTCTATGTATATATATGAAAATCTTACACTAAGTAATAATTGTAGGAATATTACGCTACAATATCTGCGTCTACACTCTCATTTGCCTGAATTTCATGTAATTTTTATATAACTCTTACTATTATGCTTTATTGCAGTACGTCGTCGGACACATAAATTGTAAATGTTGCCAGAGAGTGCATGGCTTTGCACCCAGTACATCCTCTCTTCTACATATTTCGCATAGCTGTATACATTATCGTAAGGAATCAACTTTAATAATGAATGTAATAATTTGGAGAATGTAATGGAGGATATTTTTATTTTATTTTATTTCGTTGTAATTTAACCGAATTTTATCATCGATGTGATCCCACTGAGGATGACCAAATTAAAGGTCGAAACGTATGATTGATTAATTTAGTATTTTGTATTTGACGATTATACATATTATTTTCGCAAAAAACAGCGTTTTGGTTCTAAATAGCTCTTATTTTTCAAAATATTTGAATCGTTAATGTTATTGAGCTGTATTTGAGTTTTATTTTTAGTTGTTAAATATACATGTATTATTTCATTGTTAAAGTAGATTATATGTCTTACAAGGGAATGTTCCAAATTGCAAAAGCGATATAAAAAAACTAACATTACACCAGTCGAAAGAATACGTTTGAAGTAAATATTCTAGATAATCAAATCTTGGGATCCTGTACATTCTGTATTCGATTTGATACGAAACATATTTGGTCATTTTAACTGTGACGTAAAATATCTCGAGAACAATTACATTTTTGGAAAATATGTTTCAAATGGAAATTGTAGGATTTGAAGAGGGCCGTTAGATGAGCTACTTAGATTTTGAGTTCGCTAGATCAGTGCATATTAAAATATCTCACTAAAATATCTGCTTTATATAAAATACCTCAATCCAATGATGTAATCTGGAGACAATAGCCTTGTTCTTTTTGGCTGAACTTTTGCACCAATTCATCTTTCTTCCTCTTTTTTCTTCCTGAAGAGAAAAGTAAGAAAGATGAACTGGTGCAAAAATTCAACCAAAAAGAACAAGCCCATTGTCTCCAGATTACATCATTGGATTGAGATATTTTATATAAAGCAGATATTTTAGTGAGATATTTTAATATGCACTGATCTAGCGTAGTGCGAGTGATCGAATTCACCATTAATATAAATGTACTCATTCGACGCGTATTCATTCAAAACGAAAAAATTTGACAGAAAAACGCGGCAATCGGCCTCGTGAATCGAGTTAATTAAACTGAATTGTTAAAGTTCGAGACTTCAAAGGTTAAGATACCTGTCATCCCTGCTAGATACAGGACTGCGTTCATAGTTATCGTCTGGGTGCCGTCAGAGTGTTGTTTTATTCTCGTTTAACATTCGTGAACAATAAGGATAGAACAGCATCTAGGTGTATCTGGACGACGATTCTGAACGTGCATCTGAACGCAGCTCTGCGCTATATGTATACGTTCTGCTTTAATTACATAAATTCTCTATTTTACAAACATAAATTCACTACTTTAAAACACAAATTCACTGCTTTAAAAACAAAAATTCACGGCTAATTAGCAATGAATTTGTATTTTAAAGCAGTGAATTTTTATTTTTAAAGCAGCCATAGTGAAAAAATTTTGCTGAAATCATTCCATGTTTTGGAACATTTCAGCGAAATTGCTGAAGATTTATTGAAATTTCGTTGAAAATGAATTTGTCAGTTAATATTACTGAAAAATCGCTGAAATATATTTCTTTGAAATTTTTGCTGAAATTTCTCTGAAATTTTGATGAAAATGAATTTTTCAGCTAAAAATCACCAAAATTTTAAACTGAAATATTTTGAAATGCTAAAATTTTGCTGAAAAGTGTTTCAAGACATGGAATAATTTCAGCAAAATTTTTTCCACCAGGGAGTGAATATTTGTGTTTTTGAAGCATTGAATGTGTTTTTAAAGCAGTGAATTTGTATTTTTAAAGCAGTGAAATTGTGTTTTTAAAGCAATGAATTTGTAAAGCAGAGAATTTGTGTAATTACTAAAACAGAATGTGTACGTAGCACTGTATCGAGTCGGAATGACAGATACCTTAACCTCTAAAGTCTCGAATAACTTGATTCACGAGGCAGACCGTGTTTTTCTGCCAGATTCTTTTATTTTAAGTGAATACGCGTCGAATGAGTACATTTTTATTATGATTTTAGGGAGGAGGGGTATTCTAAATAATTGCTTTCTTTTTTATTTTTATACGTACAAGTGATATTCGAGTTGGGACCTTCTGGACGTTGCCACGAGGTTTGCTTCACAAGTAACCACCAAGGAGCTTGTGAAACTGCTTTATTGATTTTGTCTTTTGTAGTTTGTGTTAAGAGGCCCTCAAAGACAAAAGAATCCCCAAAGTTTTCTGCTTCGGTAATATAACCAGTAGCATTTACAAACGTCATAAATTCCTTATTACTCACTTCAAATTTGTCTATATAAAAATTATCTAATATTACTTCGCGTTTTGGTCCTTCTCCATCGGCTACAAAAACTGGACTGTCTGTTCCTATGAAATATGTACCGGCGTTAATTTTAACCATTTTCTTTATTTTTTCCCCTATTACGCTATTTGTACTGAATTTAATATTATTCACAATGCAATATCCTTCTCGGGAACTAAAAATTAATTGTCGATTCAATTTACTGCACTGACAGTTATTATTATCCTTCACAGCGTTTACGTACAAGTAAAAATATCCGATTAGCATTTGAACTTTATAGAAGTTCAAGACAGTCATTTTAGTACGACAAAACATGACTGTGCTAAATCATTCCAATCACGAGACTCACAAGTCACGAGATAAGTCACAAGTTTTGCAATAGATAAAATAGATTCTTTATAGCTGTATGCAGTGTTGTCAGGTGCCAATGAAAGAAGTGTAGTACCAACATCAAAAAATAATAGTATTCATGACGTAAGAAGAAAGATGTATTGTGATGCGATCCCATGATGCGGAATTGGCGCAATGAGGAATTGGCGGAATGCTCGTGATTGGTTTAGAAAAGACATATCGGCGGAGCGCAATTGACGGAATGCTTGCGATTGGACGGACATTGTTCCGCCAATTCCGCATTGCGTATACGTTCCGCACCATGGGACCGCGTCATAAGAGAAGCGCGACTGGTGTTAGTGTTCTGATTGGGCATTGCAATCACGTGATTAGCAGTTAATCATGAACTAATTTTTGTGTATTAAAAATGGTTGCTTAATGTATGATTGGTGGATTTTATAGTCCGTTTTGTAAATGACGCTATTTTTAATACTTTTTCTAGTACTTTTTATTACTTTTGCGATCCTGACATAAGTCGGTCGCGCTTCTTTTATAAATATAGGACTCTACGACAAGTGTGATCGATTAATTGGAATCGACAGTCTGGAATCGACAGTCGGCACTGTTGGCAGTCGGATCGGCCTGTAGAGTCGGTAGTCTGATACAGTTTATGGCACATACAAAAACATAAGGGCCATCACACACAAAATGGCTGCGTTCAGCAGAAGTCAGCGCTTAAGGACGTTCTCCGAAAAATCCATTTTCTTTAGATTTTTCTGAAATTTATAGAAAAAGCTTGTTTTAGTGTCCTGAACATGTACTTTAAAACTCAATACCCGGAACGGGATTAAAAATCGAGATATTCCACTTCAAAGTTGAAGCGTTCAATATAGGATTCCTATCTAAAGCTTATTCGAAAATGGTCTTTTATTCATTGTAAAAAATTTTTTTTTAACAATTTTTTGAAACAATAAGATATAAAACTTGATATCACAAGAAATAATATGAAATTTGTCTGAATATGGCTTTCGGTATTCGTTTTTAAGAAATCATTGAGCAAAGTTTATAGTGTCTATATAACGTTACTAACGCAACGCACGAGCATGGTATAAGGATAAGAGTATGCTCACGCCGTGGGCACCCACTATGCAGTAAAAGTGTGACATCACTCTCGGGGCCAATCAGACCGCCCGAACGAAAACATGGCGGCTCCTGATGTTTGACATGATATTAATGTTCGGTGATACATACACAATGTCCTGTTCTGTGAAAGGTTGTGGCAATTATTTTCGCAAAACAAAATTGCTTAACGGAAACAGTATAAAATATTTTTCGTTTCCCCGAAAGATTTTACGATCGTAACTAAATGGCTTGCAGCATGTGGAAATCAAAACGTAGAAAATAGATTTAAGAATAAGAGAAAAAAGTTAATTAGATTTACAAATAATAAATCCTTTTCATAACATTTGTATATACGTGTTATTATTATTGTTGACATTTAACTATCCCCACAAAGGGTAACCTTAGGGCTTGTGCATAAGAGAGGAAGTATTAGGAATAGATATTAAATATAAGATTTTCAACCTATCAAAAACCGTATATTCCGCAGTACTTAGTTCAAAGTCTTATATTCAATATCTGTTCCTAATATTTCTTCTATTGTGCGCAAGTCCTTAATGTTACCTTCACTTTACGTTAACTTTAACGATGTTGTTAAAATATCATTGCACAGCTATTACATACTACAAAAAAACCTGCACCATAACGATATCATTAAGGCTGGTATTCATAGTCAGTTCTTATATTCAAGATCGTCTTAAGTTCAGTCTTGAGATGTCACGAACCAATCAGAGGGCTGTATTAGCATCTTAAGACATTACTTAAGACGGTCTTGAAATAAGATCTGAATATGAATACCGGTCTAAGATTAGGCCATACAGAATAGGCTAGCTAAAGAAATACAATATATTTTTCAGAAGGAAAAGGTATTAACATTTTTATATATTTCTTTCATAATAAATTCTTCTATCTTTATTGAGTTTGTAATGTTTACTTATGTTACATTTTGTTACAGGATATTCATTAGTTCTTAAATTATTTCAAAACATATTTTTCCCTGTAAACTTTAAATCAAAATAAAATATCTGACGAGAATGCTGCTAACATAAGTTGTTTGGAAACAGCAATTTTAAATTTACCGCTTGTTTGTGTGATGTCACATTTCGACAATTTTGATTGGTCGCGTGCGCGTGAGCATACTCTTATCCTTATACCATGTGCACGAGTATAAAAACGCGGAGTGAGACTGCAGCGTTGCCGCATCGCACGAAGTGACATAGTGGATCATTTTTGCACTTCTGCGCATAAGGGCGAAGCGAAAGAGCGGAGTGATACTCAACTAATATTTTCTGTGTATGGGGGCGACTGCGTGAACACGAATAAACTTTAGGTTGAGCACAACTGCAGTCGGAGAACGAGAAAAAAATTAAAGTAAATATATTTCACTCTAACATCGTAATTACAAAGTGTTAGATGTTGCAAATATGTACAGACAAAACGAACGTCTTATATTTTTCTCCTCTACAGAAATTACGGAGATCATATACTTCGTATACTGATCATTTATTACTTATTTCATGTTATTGCTATGACAGCTACTCCAGCTGCTTTACACGCACACCACTCAATAGACTCACGGACACAACACAGATAGAAAACTACACTATTACGCGACTTGAAAATAGCTGTTCCTTCTAGTGGATTCCCTCCCTTTAACGCACATCGAATGGGGCTATATCGGCCAGCTGGAGTTCGGTCTCCTTACTTTTACTTCGTGGTTCTAGTCTTCTTGTGGCTTCTATTGGTTACGAGCATGAAGAATAGAGATATATAAGGAGGCTGAACTGCATGTTCGGGACACGCGGCCAAAACCGACCCTCGATTGTCGTACCTATAAATACCGATAGATGGCACTGCAATCTACGCGTACCGGACTATTGGCTATTGAGTTAGAATTGAGGAGGAGGAGGAGAGATTGCATGGTGGAGAGTTAAAATCGTGCATATATTGTGTACAAAATTAATCCGGTGACATTTGTTATTGTTTTTCCATCGATTATTAGTAATATTTCTCATAATACTGAATGTGACATGAAAGTGCAAAGACCAAACAATGCAAACAGTCTTCAAAATTTCGCGTTTTTTTTGGATATGCACAGACTTTTTTTTTGTCATTTTTCTCTGCACTAGTAAAAACTCACAAAACGAAAACAGAACTAATATAACCAAATCCACCATGTACACGCACCGGCAGGAATGGTATCCCTCGGCAACTAGGTTAGTGTACGCTATCGCCAGTCTCACCTACTCCCGCACACTATAGCCGCCGAGGAACACCATTGCTGCTGGTGCGTGTACATGTAAGGTACGATGAAACAGAGCCACCATCTAGCGGATCATTAGTAAATTAGAGTTCAGTGAGCAATTTGGCCGTGTTTTTCGAACATTTTTCTATGCCAGTTCGGCCTCCTTATCTCTATTCTTCATGATTATGAGTTATGACAGCCAACGGGTTCGGAACACTTCTCGGTTTAATTACGGAACTGCCAACATCTAGGGGAAAAAATAAGCTAATGGCGAATTCGATTGAAAGCACTAGTGCGCACTGGTGCATATTAAAGCCGTTGTACACTGATTTAATTTAAGTATAAAAATGAAATACAAATATTTAAAATTATGAAATACATATTTTACCTAATAGTACAATAAAATATACTGAGTATTTCATGATTTGATCGATTTCTATGTTTATTTATAACGGCTTTAATTGCACTAGTGCGCACTGAGTGCGTCCAATCGAATTCGCTATAAGCTAATCTGGTTCGGAATACACCCCGTATAAGTCAGTGCACTGTGTATGTATACATTTTATTTTCTGGAAAAGTATAAATAAAAGATATATATCTCTATCAACAATGCATTATTTATTCATTTGTTATAAACATTACAGAAATTATAAAAGTAATGCAAAGAATTTTTCTCTTAATTGCATATGATTAATTTTTTTTAATTAATTGATTCGTACATTTACATTTAATCGAGCTTTCGTTTCAAGTTACTTATCCATTGTTTTATATTACTTAGGCATGTAATTTTTACAAAAGAACTAACAATTTTGTCATACAAAATGTAATTGATGTATAATAACAAAGCGAAACCTGTACTTAAGCATAGATATGTAGCGTAATAATGTATCCATGACATATCGTGTCCATGATATCGTAAATGTCTTGAGTTTGGAAATTTCAATACGTGTTCCACATGCCACGCCGCCCTATCTATAGGTTTCACTAATTCGTCCTGTACTATCGCAGACATTGTTCTGATATTGGTCAAATACCTGTAATTACAATTTTGACATGATATCACACGTCGAAATAACTTTTTTATTTTTGATCTTAGAAAAAAATGTTTCAGACAAAAGTTGTATGGCTTTAAGGGGAACATAACATGATGTCATTAGTTTGACCTTGAATAGTTACTTGGAGGCCACATTACCTTCAATTTCTTAAATGGAAACCCTTATTTTTCATTGCATATTCTTGTAGCTTACCTCGAGAGCTTTCCAAAACACTACGATAAAATATTTTTTCATTAAGTACTTTTTTAGTTATGATGCTCGAAAGTTACAGTACCTCCGGCATTTAGGCATTGTCCAAGGTATCCAACCAAGACATCCAAGGTGAAATTATGTGGCATTACTACCTAATGTGTCAATTTTAGACCTATTTCGTCATTTTTGTTGTTTTTATAATTAAAAGTTAATTGCAAAATTGCAAACAGGATTATAAAAACTTTTATATCATGTGATAGAAACATTTCCTAGTTTGTATTTATGTTCCTAAAGTTTTATTTTTAATTTTTGCTTAAGAAATACAATCCAAAAATAAAGTGGTGTGACGGTATCGGCGACCTCTCTGTATCAGTTTATAAGACATAATTTGACAAGGAAAGACCATAAGTTATTCGATTTTGTTTAGACTTTTTAAATGAGTACGATTCAATAGCTATCGAAGAGCGAAATGTACCGTTAGGATTAATTTTTTGAAAGGTCATGTTACCATTACGATTCTGTGTTAGAATCGTACTCACGTTTTATTTTTGACGATTTCCGTGAGCGTTTGTACGACGGAGTTTTCGGTTATGGTGTCGATGTCCAGTGTCAGTCCGATACCAGCGTCTAGGATTTTACGTGCATTGAAATACTGATCTCCAAAAAAGGGAATTGCGACTAGAGGCACGGCATGGTGCACCGCCTCTTGCAACGACTGCAATCCGCCCTGCATCATGTACGCTATCACCTTGGGATGTGCTACATATATAAAAGCGGTGTAAGTATATAAAGTATCGTAAAATGATGTTTTACGGATTATTTATTTTGGAGAATTATCGAGGATAATGGACAGTATACGGTAGAGAGAGGGGGGGGGGAAGAGAGAAAAATGACGAGATAGATAGATAGATAGATAGATAGAGCGTTTATTGACGTTCTAGGGCAAGCCCTCTAAGAACAAACAGAAGGAAGATATATATATATAAAGTTGAATATGCTACAAATGAAATGAAATAAAAAGGAAAAAATAAAAAGTAATAAAAATAAAGGACAATGCGATTCATTACGGTGCACAGTGTGCAAAAGAGATAGTAAAATAATAATAAGCAGAATGAATACGTAACACAGAAATTCGAAGAGAGATATTTGAATAGAATTATAATACAGTAAATATCGTGATGCGGTATACAAAATGAAGTAACATAAAGTAAAGTAGTAAGACCTAAAGATTACATAATACAGAATCATAAAGAAATGAAATAATAGGCATATCATAAGTGAGAAAGTAAATATTATAATTGTAACTTATAGTTATAATTGGTTTAGTCTCAATTAGTTAAGTCTGGAGGAGAGAGAAAAAGTGATGAGAGATGGAAGCAAAGTTTTAGCGTTGATTACGAGCAACCGAGAGATGCAACGCGAGATTTCATAAAAATGTCTGCATTGTCATATTTATTTTTCGTTTCGGCCGATTGATCGCACTTGAGTATCAACTCGGAATTTTTCAACGAAATTCTACTCGATGTGCATTTTTATCATCAAGTAAATGCCAGGGAATGAGATTTTTTTTTATTATATGTTACGCGACACACTTCTTAATCAGAACAAATTTTATCTGGAAAATTTGTGCAACAGTAAAATTATTATAATATAGATACGCCGTTTTTAATATGTATTTCTATATTCATTAGAACATTTTTTATATAAAAGTGAATGATTTCCTGTAAACAGCAATTGAATTTTCAAATAAAATCTTACTGTTTATTTTAAAATTAAGTAAATGAATTTGTTATTATATAATTTTTATGGGAATATTTTTGCAGTACGAGTAATATGAATGTTGAAAATAATATGACTATTAAGGATAAATATAAAACGCGGATGCAAGTATCGAAAGATATATAATCAATCATGGTACATCAATAATCTCCGAAGTTTCGATATAATTGCATCGTTTCTTCTAGTCACTATTCGTATTCCCAACACTAATACATTCTTCGTGCAGGCAACCGCTGTCTGTCTATCAACGTGTATAAAACTTTGTGCACGCTTATGCATTTGCATTGAGCCAGTTGCGTTACTGCCAACAGAAGTTGTTTGTCAGAATTTCCCGCGAGAATTTCACCGCCACATGCGTCATGAGTTATCGTTCCACTTCATTCCGCCATACTAGTCTGTGGCTATATTTTCCTTGGTCGCAGCAGTGTTGTTGGCAATTTTTTTTATTTCAATACTTACCCTTAAGCGACTTTCGCAAAAATAACGCGTTTCAACCATCCAAAGGCGGAAAAGGATCTGGTATCGACGTGTGTATCGGCCTTTCTTATATTTTACGTTACTTTTCTCTTTGATGTAACGCGAGAGAGGGAGGTAACGTTGGTCAAATTCAAACATCCGAGTAACGTGATCTCGATTGGAAGACAGCTTTGATGATCATTTCGAATGGAATGCCGTTTCGATCGCTGGGACTTTGTTCGATTGAAATTTAGCTGCGTGTCGCTCGATAAAAAACTCATTTCGTCTCTTTTGCTAAGCGGTGTAGCATAACCGTGATATACATATGTATAACCGTGTAATTAAGTTCGAATCATTTAAAGATTTCGAACCATAAAAAAAGATCAGTTCAGATCAGAGAATTCACTTGGAGAAATTAACGTCTTTTGATAGTGATAATGTTGAAGTCGCAAGTCTGTTGAATATCTTGTGTAATAGTCCGTATACATTCTTCTGGCTGTTATTTCTCTCTCGTGCTAAATTTCGCTTAATGAATCCAATAAATCTTTGTGATCGTATACGTTAAAAATAGAAGTGTAATTATTAAAAGCCGAAGTATAAATTTTTCAATTTATTCGTAATAATAGTGAACAAGAAGTTAAAGTACTTTGGCAATATATGAGGTTCTTATAAGATCGGGCAATTAAGTTAGAATTTTACATTTCGTTCACGAGTTGGAAGAGTTTCAGTACTAATATAAAGTTAATAAAATTGTTTTCTTTAGTAATCGTTACTTGCGACCAGCGAAATATAAATTGATTAATGATATTTACTGTATTGACTCGATAAAAAAAACTTTATTTAAATTAAGTAGAATGTCTAAAATTTAACAATTTCATATATAATTTTATAATAGATTTTATAATTAATTCGCGGTAATCCTTTCAAGAAAATCTTAAGAAAATCTCAATGCATTAAATTTTTGTGTGTTACATAAGTGCAATTAAATAATTAAATTCATAGCAAATTCTTACAGTTAAGATTATTCGCTATGTATAATACATCATTATTTTACATAATCATGTGTTGCTATTACTAAATATCTTTAAACTTCTGTTGCAGCTAGTATCAAAATTAGTATTAAAATTAGAATAAAATATTAATTGTATTGTAAATATAATAAGTACCATTATAGCTATATAAAACTAAAATAAGATTATGAAGTAAAATCTTTCTCTCTCTTTTTCTCTCTCTCTCTCTCTCTCTCTTTCTCTCTTTGCCTTGCATGGTCTACCCTTTTTATAATTTTATCGATTCCCTATCTTCAAGCACAAAGAAATTTCAGTATAGAATGCTTCTCATCGAACCGTTTTGTAAATGCATATCTCGCAGCAGTTGATCCGCTTCTTTCGAAGAGAATGAGGTTAAAGAGTTGGTCAGTTTAGCCTTGGGCAGTCTTACCTAATACTGCTTGTTGAGGCACCCATTTTACAAATTTGATGTTGGTCGCATGAATAGCCATGTTACCATCATGTTTCCATAGAACTCTTTGCTTAAGCGAGCCTAGGGCGTTGCACAATGCGGTCAAAGGTCCTGCAGGTAGTTGGTCAGTTTGCAGATTTGAACCCAGAGAGAAATAAATAGCACCATCTTGAGCATTGTCCAAAAATTCGTGAATATCCTAAAATAGTAATGAAAATTACGTTTAATGAGAACTGAGAAGTGTGACATATGTAGTGATAAGTATTTTGGTTCAAGTTTTATCTTTAATGACAAGCAGCATGTAATATACAGGGTGTCCCATTTTAATGTCCCACCCCAAATAACTTTTTTATTTTTGATCTTAGAAGAAAATGTTTCAGACAAAAGTTGCATGGCTTTGAGGGGGACATAAGATGGTGTCATTAGTTTGACCTTGAATAGTTGCTGGAAGGTCACGTGAAGGTCACCTTCAATTTCTTAAATAGAAATCCCTATTTTTGATTAGATATTCTCGAGCTTACCTCCAAGAGCTTTCCAAAACACTATAATAAAATATTTTTTCATGAAGTACTTTTTTTAGTTATAATCGAAAGTTACAGTATCTCCGGCATTTAGCGTTAATTAAGATGTCCGACCGACAACTAAAACCTCTTAAAGGACTTTTAGGACCATGAACTGGATAACATTTATCAAAATCAAGGCGATTGGAAATTGTACAGCTTATTTTCACTTTTATGTTAAAATGAATTTTTAGTGTAAAAATGAAAATAAGAGGAACAACTTCCAATGACCTTGATCTTAACAAATGTTATTTAGTTCATGATCTTAAACAATATTTAAGAAGTTTTAACTGTCGGTCGGACACTTTGGATAATGCTAAATGCCGGAGGTACTGTAACTTTCGAGCATCATAACTAAAAAAGTAGGGGAGACCAGGGACAAAAGTAACACGGGACAATAGTAATATTTTTTAAACTATAATAGATATGTGTATGCGGCTGCATGGTAAAATTCTGTAGACAGATCGGCATTGAATCGTTCGTTACATACTGATTCTCGCGGAACGTGCACGAGTGCAGGAGCAAAAATTATTTTTTTCATGCATCAAGTAAGTTTTATTGCGTGCACAAAATCTAAAATATTTTTTTTTCTTTATAATGAAGGTATAGTGTATTATCATAATATATTTTAATGAATATCTGCGTTGATGGTTTGTACATTTGGGTTGATTTTTATTTAGGTTTTTATTTAAAAAATTTACTATAAATCATAAAATATCATTAGGGGACAATAGTAACATCAATGCCTGGGATCAGTTGTAACATTACAATTATTCCCAAACTTATTTGATTTTATTTTAGTATTATTTTGTACAATGTTATTTGTATTTTTCTTCATAGAATCCCATTAACAAGAAAACACAAGACAGATAAGAGAAAAACTATATAAAAGAAGTGTCTTTATATAAACAAAGACATTTAAAGAAGTTATGAAGGACCAGATATCCATTTATGCAGCTGCAAGAAAGAGTATGACTTATGTTGTTGTGTTACGTACCTCTGGCAAATGTGATACAATTATCCCCTTCTACTGTTATCTATCTATAATCTATCTATAATCGTTACTATCGTCCCTAGGGGACGGTTGTACCAAAATTCCTCACAGTCTTTAAACAAACATAACTTTTTTTCTAGTTACATAAAATAATTAAACCAAAGAAAATTTTGTATCTAAATAAATTCTATATCTAAAGATACATATTTTTTAAATGTAAATATCATATTTTAACTGTTATAACACTTAAAAGTCAAAATGTTACTTTTGTCCCCAGTCTCCCCTACTTGAGGGGAGATTCTCATGAAACTCGACTAAAGAATCGATTTTTTTTTGCATTTTTCGATAGCTTATGATGTGTAGAATATGTTCCCAAAGCGGTTTGGCCGATAACGATTGCATAAAAAAGTTATCGCATAAGAAAGGAACCCATCTTTTTTCACGAAAATTGAGAAAATTGAGTTTGCGCTCGTAATGAGTATCTCACATCAATCTTTTTGAAATGCGCGCCTGTATCGAAGAAAGCCGCCCAAATTGCTGAAATGGAGCAATATGAAGTCGACGAAGGATTGATATATGGCCCTAGAATTGCTGATTAGCTATAAGGTACATTATTTTGTTAATAACTCGAAAAAATCGTTAACCAAATCTTAAAACGCGTTTTCTGAAAAATC